AGCGGATCGAATGCAGAAGGGCGCCCCACTTGTGACAGGACCGCCCTCCAGCGCGCATTTTCCACTATTGTCAGGGCGCCTCGTATTTACTCTGAGTTCTAATGATTCCAAAGGAGCTATTATGAACTGTTATGTGGCTTACATCTTTAAATGCTGTAGTTAAAAACCTTTTGGAATTTAAAACTCATCAAGAAGCTTCTATGGTGAATATCCATGCTGGGAAGATAGGATTCTAACTTAACATTAAAAATTACAATAGCAGATTAATTAAACGAAAGAAAGAGTGAAAAAGAAAGCATACAGATTACCATGTGTTCCATTTGGGCATAATTAACTTTAATTGGGGGGGGATGTGCATTGTGAATATCTGCCAGAAATATTCCACTTCTCTACCCCCGTCCTTAGTCCAAAACGTACTGCTCGTGCGAGTTTTTTGTCAGATACGGTTTACCAGAGAATTTTCTTCTGCATTGCTGATTTCATTAAAAAAAAACTTTTAAAAGAGAGAAAAAGGCAGGCAGGACTGTAGGGAGCCTCCAGCTCCTATCTTTTTCAACCACCCCTCTTGAAGGCCTCGAGGAAGTCAGCCTGCAAGTGGGTCTGCACAGGATGCTTGGCGTTCCCAGCCTGTGTCATCTGCCTGTCCTAAGTGACTGGAGAGGAGGAAGCCTTTGGCAAATAAGCCGATATGGGGACCTCTGCAGATGTTTTGGTCACCACAATATAAAAAAGATGTTGAGAGTTCAGAGAAGAGCAACAAAGATGATTAGGGGGCTGGAGGCTAAAACACATGAAGAACGGTTGCAGGAATTGAGTATGTCTAGTCTAATGAAAAGAAGGACCAGGGGCAACATAATAGCAATGTTCCAGTATTTGAGGGGCTGCCACAGAGAAGAGGGGTGTCAACCTATTCTCCAAAGCACCTGAAGACAGGACAAGAAACAACAGAAGGAAACTAATCAAGAAGACAACCAAATTAGAACTAAGGAGAAATTTCCTGACAGTTAGAACAATTAACCAGTGGAACAGCTTGCCTTCAATAGTTGTGGGTGCTCCATCACTGGAGGCTTTTAAGTAGAGATTGGACTGCCACGTGGCTGGAATGGTCTAGGGTTTCCTGCTTGAGCAGGGGACTGGTTGGACTAGAAGACCTCCAAGGTTCCTTCCAACTCTGCTATTCTGTATCCTGTATGGATGCCTCTCCCAATAGCCTAAAGGAGGACATTTCCATCTCATCAGGTTCTGGCAGGAAATAGTCTCCAAAGATCCCAATAGGAAGCTTGCTGTGAAGTTTGAGGGCAACAGATATCATGGGAACACTCCAAATTCTAATCCTTGGTAAGTATTTTGTGGTTGGATATATATTCTGAGAAGAACGTTTGAACACACAGGAATGGTCACCTGAAAGCGATTTCTGCTGCCCTGGAAATCCTTTGGCTATTTCCAGCATAGAGAACGGTATTTCTTAAATCAAAAGCTTCGCTGTTCTGAACCTCAGATTATCTATTTCCAAATTAGTTTCCCTTATAATTCTTATTCATTCGTATAGGATTTTGATTTAATATAAAACAGGGTAAATGGGGGGATGAGATTAATTAATTGAAAGATAGGATTGTCTTAAAGTAAATATTTAAAAGAATATGCTGATAATGGCTGAGATGGAAATCAAATCTTAATGACTTTAATTTGCTGTGAGCTCTGGGTTGATGACAAAATAGGGAGGAAGTTTCCTGCAGAATTTTTCCCCCTCCCTGCAGGACTCATTAGTTTTGGTTTGATAGCATTATGAAAGATTTGACTATTGGCTCTGCAGGCTTGTGCTGGAGAAATTAGTTTCTCTTTGTTTGGGAGCAGCAAGCAACACAAATTAGCAACACAACACTCCCAATAGATTGGCACCAAAACTGCAGACCAGCAGGCTAACATGGGCCAGCCAGTTCTGCCCAGAGGTTCATAAGAGGGAGATGCTCCTCATTTCTGTACAGGTAGTCCTGGAATTATGGGTCTCCACTTAGTGACCAAAGTTATGACAGACTCCTCAAAAGATACTAAAGACCCAGTTCTGACAGCCCCCCCCATGGTCAAATGACCAGATATTGGGCAGTTGGCAACCAGCTCCCATTTAAGACCCTTTGCAGTGTCCCCCAGTCACGTGACTGCTGAAAACCAGTATTTGCTACAATGGCTTTGCTTAATGACTGCTCCAAACAAAAGTCATAAAATTGGGTCAGTCACATGATGATCCACTTTATGACCATCACCACTTACGACTGTAATTGCCAGGCTTAATTACGGTCCTTAGTTGATGCTGAGGTGTAATCGGTTCCTAAGGCCCAGATGTGTGTTGCATATCATTTCGGAGAGGTGGAGTTTTACAAGTACCTAATTTGATGGGAATTTCTGGATTCTAAACCAGGGGTCCTCAACCTTGGCAATTTTAAGACTTGTGGACTTCAACTCCCAGAATTCCTCAGCCAGCCTGCTGAGTTGAAGTCCACAAGTGTTAAAGTTGCCAAGGTTGAGGACCCCTGTTCTAAACCATCCTGGTTAATAGGCACCAACAGTCTTATGCCTTACATCTTTGTAATGTTTGGGGGAGGGTTGTTTTAACTTTCGTGTTATTGTATTGCATTATTATTGAGCATGACAAAGAGTCCTATGAGAAGGAATGGAGAGGCGTCTCTTTGTACATTCAGCAAGACCGGCCTGGAATTTTCCTCTAGACAAGCAGTTGTCCATTCCCAAACTTTAAGCTGCACTGTATTCCAGATCTGTCCACACTCAATCCATGATATGAACCTGGGGATTAAATGGATATTGTTGTGGTTAATTCTATTTACATACCACTAAATCAGCACAGACTCAAGGTGCTTTGCAAACAAATGGCAGAAGCATCCCTAACTGTTAAAACATGCAATGGGTCTAAATCAATAATTCTAGAGTGAAGCTGATAAATATTTTGGAGTTTGCTGTTGAATTTCTTACATTTTTAGCTAGCTCCTGTGTTTGTTGTGGCAAAGTGAACTTTGAATTCCTCTGGTCAAGTACAAACAGGCAGATGTTCTGGTCTCCTTGACTGACTCAGTAAAACCTACCTGAAATTCTACGGGTGTTTTATTTCTAACAAGGAAAAGAAAAGGTGAAATGCTGCAGCCAGCCAGTGCCTGGAGAGGCCATGAATGCTGTTTCCTTGGGCCTTGGGATTTTAGCAGCACCCCCTCCTCTTTGAAATGTAATAAGGGAAAACCAGGTCTGGAAACAAATGCAATGAAGCCCCTCTCCGTGGCTTCTTAGGCAAATCTCTTGTGCAAATTTTTCCCTCCACTGCTCGGCACCTGCCTGCTGCCAGCAAAGGACAACATTAATTTGGATTTGTGCATCGGGTGGGTTTGGCACAGGCTCAGCTGGGTGGGGGGGCTCCATGGGCCGTCTCTGGTCTGGGATCAGCTAAGCTGGAGGGGGACTGCCTGGGCGTTTCTGAGCTGCAGATGGGCTGGGTGGTCTCCTGCCCATCAATCACTGACTCAGAAAAGGGCCGTAGCAAGTCACATCCATAGGATGCCAATAAAACTACATAGCCAGGAATGGAAAATGGTTTGAAGGTGGCTTTATTTGGGGGAGGAGGTGGGGGGAGGGGGAGGCTTTGACACAGAGAGGACCTGGGGCCAATCATGCACCAGTTCTTTGCACTTGAGAAACTGGCTGGAGTCGTGCAGTGATTATCCAACTCTGCTGTGAAGAAAAAAAGCTGCCTTGCCCAGCTCCCTGCAGCCCACTTGCCTCCCCTCCTGCCAGTGGAGGGGCAGTGAGGCTGTCCCCCAGGGGGGAATTTCCACCCGGGACCAAGCAGGGAGGTGTCCCAGCCACATTTCTTGGCAAAGCGGGGAGGGCTTTCCAGGAGGACGGGAGGGACCGGCGAAGGAGTGAACGGTCAGTGCCGTTCCTGCTGGAAGGACATAATCGGCTGGGGATAATAAGGAGTGTACTGAATGGGAGAGAGCATTTCCAGAAGGGTCTCTGTGTTCTGCAGAAAAGGAAACGAGGCTGCCCAGAAAACAAAGGCTGCCATTCCCGAAAAGAAAGCCAACCCCAAATCCTGGCCTGTTTCTCATTCCCTTTGAGGGCCAAACCGGGAAGGGAGTCAAAGGCTTCCGCAAAGGGGCTTCACTGCTCTGTGCCTTCCTGCATCTGGGCTGAAAGGCTTCAGTGTGTGGAGCTGGAATCGTTGTTTTTAAGCAACGGCCAGTCCTGCTGCTTGATTGTGAAAATCGAGGACAGTAAACTGCTCTGCTGCGGCACCCAACAACACACGCACACATGTACACACACATATATTACTCCATGCGCACTTACAATGATGTATTTTCGATTTCTCTTTTAACCCAACCCCCCCCCCCCGAACTCTGCGTTAAATGGTTTTCTTTTTGTTGTCTTCCCTTGCCCCCCTCCTTTCTTTTTAATGAATATGGACTTAATCTGTGTGTTGTTTTATTGATTGCACACTGGTGTTTGTTTGAAATGGGTTTGCATAGGGAGTGGTATGAAATATAATTTTTTTAAGAATATAATTACATAATTATGCCTGTACTGCCAGCCATTTTCAGCGTGAGCTTGGACAAATCTTAACTGAAGAGCCTCATTTGCTGCACTAATTCTCCGGATTCTGTTTGGGGAAAAATCATGGTAGACGGAGCAATTAGCAGCAGAGAAGTAAGACAGGGGCTGCCCATCTGAACCAGCAAATCAGGGACAAATCTTTCTTAAGATGAAGTTTCCTAAGCAAGGACTTCAGTTAGTCAGCCATGGGAGCTCCTGCACCAGCCTTCCATTCACACTTAACGTGCCGCTTTCCTGGGAATCTCTGTGATGATCTTCTGACTTTGCACACAATTGGCTAAGTGTGCACAGTGTGTGCTGAGCCTCAGCCTTGGGACACCCACGGCTGGAAGGGCTGGCTCAGCCAAGGCCCTAAGCCAGCCCTGCTCTCTGCCAGGGGCTAGCCAAGGAAGCCGAACCTACTAAGGTTGGCCTCTGCTTTTCTTTTTCTTCAATCTCTTCAGGGGACGGACAGAACTTGGTGACCGAAGACGTGACCGTGGTAGAGGGAGAGGTTGCTACCATCAGCTGCAGAGTCAAAAACAGTGACGACTCCGTGATTCAGCTCTTGAATCCCAACAGGCAAACTATTTATTTCAGAGACTTCAGACGTGAGTTCAGGGCCAGTGGCCAACCTTTTGATCTCAATATTTGGGGGAAGGATTTGGGAGGCCCAGGATGTTTCTCTCACCCTTTGGCTGCCTGGATCAGCGTTCTGGGGCAATGGCGCCCTTGTTCCTTTGCTGGGGTTGATTGTTTAGATGCCGCAGGTCTTATCATCTTCTTGTGGCTTGGTAGCACCGTGGTTAGAATGCAGTATTGCAGGCTAACTCTGCCCGTAGCCTGGAGTTCAATCCTGACCAGCTCAAGGTATGGCTAGTCTAGAGAAAAGAAGGACTAAGGGCAACAGGATGACAGTGTTCCAGTATTTGAGAGGCTGCCCCAAAGAAGAGGGGGTCAACTTATTTTCCAAAGCACCTGAAGGCAGGACAAGAAACAATGGATGGAAACTAATCAAGGAGAGAAGCAACCTGGAATTAAGGAGAAACTTCCTAACAGTGAGGACAATTAATCAGTGGAAGAACTTGCTTCCAGAAGTTGTGGGTGCTCCATCACTGGAGGCTTTTAAGAAAAGACTGGACAGCCACATGTCTGAAATGGTATAGGGTTTCCTGCTTGAGCAGGGGGTTGGACTAGAAGACCTCCAAGGTCCTTCCAGCTCTGTTCTAATTCTGATTCTGAGGGTTGAATCAGCCTTCCATCCTTCTGAGGTCGGTAAAATGAGGACCCATATTGTTGGGGGCAATAGGCTGACTCTGTAAACTGCTCAGAGAATGCTGCAAAGCACTATGGAGCAGTATGTAGGTCCAAGTGCTATTGCTATTGTGCCTTGCTTGTAGTTTCTAGGTGGCCCAGCCAGCAAAGGACCCCCACCCCATCTTGGGCAGCCAATTTACTAACCTATTTGTGTGCTAAACAAGCAGAGTGGGAGGGGGGATAAGTGTGAAGGAAGTAATTACAAGTACTTGTTAAGGGGCATTTGTTTATTTATCTTGATTGCCAAGAAAGCCTGCTGGTTAAATCCAAATTGCAGGAGAACAATAGGAAATAACAGGATGTGGGGAAGAGGGAAGAGTTGCCTTTGCCAGTCAGAACCCTTTGAGCCGTGGAGCTCTTTTGTGTGTTCTCGGCCTGATTCCCCTTGTCTCTTCCTTCTGCAGCCTTGAAGGACAGCAGGTTTCAGTTAGTGAATTTCTCCAGCAGTGAGCTCAGAGTGTCACTGACCAACGTCTCCATTTCGGATGAGGGAAGATACTTCTGCCAGCTCTACACAGACCCTCCACAGGAGTACTACATGACCATTACAGTGCTCGGTAAGAATCCCATCCCATCTGCAGCTCCTTTGGAGGCATCAGGAGGCAGGTGGAGAAAGCAGGGGAAGTTCAGGGCTTTCTTTGCATCCATTCCACAACTTTGAAATAAATCCTCACGGTTTACACTGTACTCTGGAGTCCGTGTCCCCATATCTGTGGGTTAGGATGGATGTGACAAAAGTTGAAACTGGAAGAAGCAACTGAAGTATAATTTAGGGCCAAGATCTAGAGAAAATGAAGACAAAACGGCCTGCGCCATTTAAGGGTGCTCATCATGTCTTCTCTGAAGGAGCAGATCCACCATGCTCTCACATCTGCAGGCGAGCAATTCTGTGTAGCCATTTCTGGATTGGGACACAGAAATACAGCCCGTGGCCTAATGTAGATAGCAGTAGAATGGTTCCCCAGCAGCTCGTGGAAAACAAATGTCCATTTCTGAAGTGAGAGGAGAAATAAAGAGAGGAGGGAAACCCAAGAAGGTCTTCAAAGAAGCTCTTGCAATTAGCCCAGTATCAATTGTCTGAGAGGCTGCTTTTGATTTCCCAGGCAAGGACTGGAGGCTCCAGTAATCTTTGTCTTCCCCCCAAACTTTTACATCTATAAAAACATATTCTGCAAGTGAAACATATTGCCCAAAGAAGGTGATAAAATCATTTTAAATAGCCCACGTCTGCATTTTGAGCCTGCTTATTTTAAGAAATCTCATGGTTGCAGTCAGTTGTGAAAAGCAAGTATTCTGCCTAAATGCAGCCCACTCAGCTCTGGACCCATTGAATATGCCCCTGAAAACCTGCACCTGATTAATTGCCCCCTTTACTCTCTCTGCACTGGAGGCCCTTGTGAAAATTGCATTAAAAGTTGAGGCAGTTGATGTAATAACTGTACTGTGGAACATTATTATTTCTCTGCTAGACTAACAATCGACCAGAGTCTCTGTGATAAATGCCAACATTGTGTGTGTGTGGTCCCCATTTGGGGCATTTCTGCATCAAGCAAAATGTTTTAGTTAGCAAATCAAGCATTTCAGATTGAGCCAGAGCCAAGCAGTAGCTTTAGCCCATCCTGTGCAATCTCCGAACGCCTCTCCTCCTCCTCCTCTTCCCGGGGGCCTCTGTTGGCCTGAGAAAGTCTAGCCCTGCTTTTGCCACCAAGCCAACTGGGGAAGGGTCCTCCCAGTCTGCCCTCCGATTACTCGTCGTTCCCAAAAGAGTAACAGTGGGCAGAGCAGACCCATCCACAATAGTTGACGGATTCTGCAAGGGCCCTCCTGGCCTCTGACGATCCTGGTAATGAGAGAGCTTGAATTGCAGCAAGAAATTTCCAAGTGAGATTGCGCTCCTTGATTAGTTACACGGGTTCTCCTCTCCTTCTGCATTTCATGAGGTTCAGTTCTTCGTCTGATAGTATATTATGAAAGTTTAAAATTAGCCTGCAGTGTGAATTTCAAACTGGGCTACCTTCAGCTTTGAGAATTGCTTCCTGATGTGGCTTCACGGCCGTCCTTCTTTTCCTGCCTTGCTCAGATTTGAGAGCTGGGAAGGGCTGGGCTTTTTCTTCAGGGCTCCTTTCCCTTCCTGGACTCAACAAGATTGTCTTCTGCCTTGGTGCAGGGCATCTCCTGGGATACCCCCCATGCTGAAGACCCCTCCCCTCCCCTCCCCATTCTTGGAGAGTTGGGGAGAAACAAACATTTCCTTCCGGCTGCTCTGAGGCGCATCCTTGTCCAACCTGGAAGGTGATGGGCGTCAGCCTTTTTCTTCTTTTGCTTTTTGGAACCCCCAAATGATTTTCAGAACATATTTACTCCTCAGCTGAGAAACAGCAACCCCGCCCTGTTTTTCCTAGCTGAATCACCCAATTGCATCATCAGAACAAATCACAACCAAAAAGGCCACTTATTCCCAACAACGCGAATTTAAATCTTTGTTTCAGAGCTTTGTTAAATAACAGCAATCATCTCCTAATGCTGGGATCGCTGATTAAAAAGTAGAAGCCACCCAGCTCTTCCATCTCCCCCTTCCTCCCCCCCTTCCTCTCTTCTCTAAGGGATTGTGAGGCCTCTTGCAGACGTTTTTGGTGGGTTCACGGTTCTCTAGTTATGCCTCAGATTATCCACAGTTCAAGACGCTGCTGGATTTGCCTGATCCCTTCGGCTTTGGATGTCAGCAATATGAGGAACCTGCGCAGAATGCGAGCTTGAAGAGGAAGGAAAAAACACCCGCCCTCTAAAAAAAAAATGTTTTCTGGTGCAATAACGGCTCCTTTGGGCGTCTGCTCTCTCTTTGCGATTTACAAGGTGGCGGGTCATTTCTGAAGTTCTGGATTTTTTAATAGCAATTTTATTAAGAATTACTATTAAAGAGATAAAACTAATACAAATAAAAACTAGGAAGTGCCAAAAAGAAAAAATAGAAAAGAAGAAATGAGGATATAATAAAGAAAAAGAAAAGCAATATATAAAGAAATGACTTTCCCCTTCATCACAAGTATAAAAACTTGCCACCTTCTCTAAAAAATACAAGAAATGACCTCTTCCTCCCAAATCTCGCCCCTTATCTGTAAACAAATCCTTAAAGCCTCATCTTCAGTCCTGATCAGCAAAGCCCATTAAGGTTACCAGAGATAACAACATATCTATTTTAACTTTGATCAAAAAAACCAACTTTAAAGTACTTTGTTTTACTTTTAACAATCTTGATCTTTAATCCCTTCAAATAATGTCCTAGAATTTGATTTCTTTTCATTTTTTCTTTGTCCCTTCTCGCAAAATTCTTCAAAGCTTTAACAAGTCTTTTTGTAAATCCAATATAGAAAAGTTATCCAGGTCACTCTTTTGGTTGTTTTTTTTCCTATCTCTTTTAATTATTAAGACATTACATCGGCTTACAACTTTCTATCTATAGAGGCAGACGCTTTTAAAATTAATTTCTGGGTTCATTCTGGTTTGGGGGGTTTTAGGAGAGAGAGAGATCGTACTTCTTCTCTTACTCAGTCTTCTTCATCCCACTAGACTATGTAATGTTAATTATTTGGGGATAGTAAAAATGGAGAATTGGTGCTCCAGAGATGTCAAAAAACAGGAAGGAGCTCCAAAAATGCAAGTAAGAGCTGCTTTGGTGTTAAAATCCTGGTAAGGCTTCTTGGTGGTGCCTTGTCGGATTCCAAGTCACTGAGATTGTCCGCTTTTGTGTTTTTGACCTGTTTCGTTCCAGTCCCGCCACGTAACCTGAGGATTGAATCCCAGAAGGACACCGCAGTGGAAGGAGAGGAGATTGAGCTGAACTGCACGTCGATGGCCAGCCGGCCAGCCACAATGATCAAATGGTTCAAAGGCAGCAAGGAGCTCTTTGGTAGATCCACCCCCTCCTCCCCCCACCCATCAACTTAATGGTGTAGACTTAGAGGTGCCTTGGGAGGATGAGAGGTGACCTGACCTCAGATGCAGAGTCTGGGCCTGGCGCAGCCTCAGCTGATCACCTTGATTTTATTCTCCATGGAATGAAGGATTGACTCATATTATGAGCTTTCTCCTCGACAGCCAACAGTCAAAGTATCTGAGGATAACCTCAGACAACCTCAGAGCCTGTATTTAGGCAGCTCATCCAATATGTCCTTGAACCACCAGTTCAACCCAATCCAGCAGAAAGCCATACCCCAGCTCAGACACAGCTCTCCCCACAAGTTCCTCCTGGGGAAAAAAGATGGGGTGCTGATTTGTCTGTCAGCTTCACTGCAGACCTCTTCACCCCTGACAGAGGATACCCCATTCCTTGTTGTGTGATCCATCTCCTTCTAAAGCCCTGGGTCACATTTTTAGGTTCTTTCAGGTGGTAAGTCAGCACTGGGAAACGAAATACAATCCTTGCCATGACCTGATCCTTCAGCATTTGATCCCTCACATTTTACCTATTTGCATTGTCTTCCATCCTGTTGTTCTTACTTCTAGAGAGGCTTCCCAAATGTTTCAGCTGTGTAACTGAGCCAAGATTCAAAGGCCTGGCTATCTCAGTGGGGCACCCTCCCTGCCAGCCTCTTAGTTGAGAAGAGCCACTTCAACCCTGAAAGCAGACAGATCTTCAGCACAAGAGTGGCATTGAGGACCAAGCAGATGCCCCCGTGCCCATCAAGCGAAACACACTCTGACTTTCAGGAGAGCATCTACTGAATGTGGCTTTCATTTGTTTCTCCTCTAAATTTTACCAAGCAAGCAAAGCAACCTAGGATTGTAATGCAAGGGGTGCAGATTTTCTAATTAGGCTTTTCTGTTGGTTTTGCCTGCCGAGATGGTGTGGTAGCCCCTTCCAGACCAGGAAGCTCCCAGGCAGCTGGTGGCGCTTCCCTCATCCATGGGAGCCCCCCCACCCAGCCTTCCCTCCCTTCATCGCAGCCCTCCTCACGTTCTGCCCTTCTCCTTCCCCTTCCTTTTGGCAGGGAGCCCTGTGGGATGTCTCTGTTTCCACCCGCTGCCACCGCATTTTTCTGGTCTTCAATGGTACCTGTGCTTAAATATTTTAATTACTACTTTTAATTATGTAAATCCATGGAGTCACTTTCCCTCTTGATTATTGATGATGGCTTTTGGCAGTGGCATCAGAGGATTTTTTGGCTCCGTGGACTTGAGTGTTTGGAAGACATCCTAGAATCCCGGCGGTTGAGGGTTGTAGGTCTCGTGTTTAATAACACGAGGCGAAGGTGGGGCCTCCCCTCCCTTGGAATCCAGGAGCCAGGAAGAGCACGAGCCGGGCAGCTTCCTTTTGCCAGTAGGGGAGCTTCATGACCTCGGAATCCAGTCTTTCCTCTCCCCTTCTTCCAAGTCTCCACTCAGGCAAGAGGGCAGCCAGAATGCTCACGAGGGAGTAGGGTCTTCCCCTAGGCGACTGCTTTGGCCCTCTGCGTCTTTGGGGTGTGCAAGAATGGATGCCAGCACAAGATAGGTAAGGTCAGCAGACGTTCTGTGGCTCAAGGGCACCAAAGACAGAAGGAATCCGTGCCCCAGCGGGATTTTTTCCCCAGATTGCACGCTCGTAGGAAATTCCAGGATAGTTGTGAGATACAGCTAGGTTGTAGAGGAGCACAGCAGGCAGTGAGGTGGTCACCTGTGGCCCTTTGTGGCTGACCTGCTCTCTCGTCTCCCTGGTCTCTTTTGTTCTGCAGGCAAAACAGAAGTGGAGCAGTGGTCAGACATGTACACGGTGACCAGCCAGCTCTTACTAAAGGTCAAGCGGGAGGATGATGGGGTCCCAGTTGTCTGTCAGGTAGACCATCCTGCCGTTAAAGACTTGCAGACCAAGTACTACCTTGATGTAATGTGTGAGTACCAAAATCACAAGCTCTTCACTCTGTGCCTATGCTGTTTATGTCTGGCTTTCTTAAAACGGATATTCAGAGTATTGAATGTTACTTTAAAGCTTTTCCTGCAGTTTTTTCATGTCTCTTTTGAAAAAGTTCTACCGTTCATTCTTGGGTGAATCACACAAAGCTGCCTACGAATGTTCTTTTAATGCAGACATCTGACTTCCATGAGCTGGTGCCTTCCAGGTAATTTGGGACTTCCATAAATCACAGCCATAGATCCAACTTGGCTAAAATCTATGAGAGGTTCAGTCCAGCAACATCTGGAAGACATCAGCTTAAGTGAGGCCAGAGGCTCAGTATACTGTATGTGTTGAAGAGGAGTCTTCCTGGTCTTCCACTTCTGTTGGAATATGATTCCTGTGTCTTCTGGTCATTGTGTCTTCTCAGTTCCTCATTATATCTCAAAATGACAATTTTGGCCTCGGGCTCAGTTAAAGCTGTGTTGAACGAAGTCCTGAAGTTCAATTCTCCTCTTTAATAGTTGCCAGCGGCCTTTGAGCCGGCCGTTCTGGGCCACTTCAGAGATCAGGCAGCAGCGAGTTCAGGTTCACCATCAAATTATCTTGAAATATCAGCAGCAGCCCTTCCAGAGACCCTGTCAACATTGGCATGGCTCCTTGGTGGCTCACGCTTCTCCAACCGACTCCTTTTCCCATTTATGCTGTTTTTCCCCCCTGAATCTTTGGCTGTCACTATTGCTTATGCCGAAATGCTGCATAACCACGTATCCTATAAATATTGTCATTGCAAGATAACTTTCTGTAAATCCACAAAGTTAAATTACTGGCTTGGCACTAAGCTGTGGCTTCCTATTTCAGGCAGTTAGAGGACCAGAGGATGGCAGAAAAGATCTGCCTGTGCTTCCTTTTGCTGCTTACCTTGAAGTATTGCCCAGGACTGTGGCAGTCGTGAGCGGCATCCCGGGGGTTGGCATGTGCCCCATCCCGTCTGAGTGCCATTCAGATGCAGTGCCATATGAAGCATGGAAGGATTCATGGCTTAAGCAGCCAGCCACTTTCACCATGAGCCAGAACTATGGCAGGGCGATGTCTGCCTTTTGCGTTTGCAACTCAACCATAACTTTACACAAAGAACCTCCCCCGTGTTAATTTATTTCTTCTGCTTCATTATGTTGTTCCATTATGAGCATTTTGCTTACAATTTTCATATCACCCAAAAGTATTGGGGAAGGAACATCCCTATAATGGGAAAACAAAAAAACCCATCAGATATTACCTAAATTGGCAGGTTGTGGCAGCCTCGTCACTGTGCTAATGTGTAATTCATTTATGCAAACGTTCTGTCCATTAGCATTTCTGGTAGAGCCCCATTAGCTTTAATAACATATTAGCACCTTTGCTAGGTCTGATCGGAAGAGCTTTCACAGATACTTACATCCGTGTGTCAGTACGCAGAGTGGGACTTCCTTGGAAAACGGTCAGGACCTCCCTTCTTCCAACCCCAGGGAGGACCGTGCAGGAGACCTCTAGGGCTTCATCTCATGGCCAGGCAGTTATTTATTTACAGGGATCTAATCAGAACATTTTTGAGGTCAAAGATGTCCCGGATTAGTTCTGTCAGTGGAGAAAAGGTGGTATTTGAAGACTCTTTAATTGTGTCTCTCTTACTCAAACCAAACCTTACCTGCTTCTTTCTTGGTGTGCTGATGCCACAGCAGCTTAGAGAGAAGCAGAGCCACTTGTCTGTTGCTTGAGGTCCAAATTACTATATCGCCTGGTTTCCTGGCAGCTGCTCAGAAGAATAACACTTTGTAAACACCAAGCCCAATGACTGCCCATTCTCAGAAGCTTGCTGGACTCTGGGATTTGCAATCGGAGCCTGGAGCTGGGCTCACTGTTAGGACTTCATACCTGTTAGATGACCACCTTGTTGCCACCATGCAACAAGAAGAGTCTTAACGTTGGGCCACAGGGCTGCATCCAATCTTCTGCTCCCCAATTGGCAGCTGGAGAGAGAGACCTGGTGGAAGAGGACACTGAAGATCCTGGACCTTGGTTCTCCCTGCCTGGCCCAGGTGTGAGCTGATCTAGGCATCCTCTTCCCCTGGACCAATGAATGCGCAGTCACAACCAGTTATTTTTTCACTGGGCATACTTAGTAAAAGATAGAAGTCAGAAGGTAGCAGCTTGTAATAAAAAGGAAGGTATTAGTAGGTGAAATTCAAATTATCTATGGAGCTTTTTCAAGGCTGTGAGCTAATTCATGTTTGCTCAGAGGCTTGAATAGACAGCTGCATGTTAGCGTTAGCACAGAAATGGAAGGAAGAGTGAAAATGAGAAAGAAGTATTTGAGAATGGTCGCAGGATAGATGAGCCCTTCACCTTGAGAAAAAGATTCTGGACAAGTTCTTAAAAGGAGAACATTAACTTAAATCCACATAAAGCCATAGAAAAAGGTTTGATATGGGAATGAGCAAAAGGCAACTTTTGAATGAAGAATACCGTAAGCTTCCTGAGCAATTAGCTTCAGTATGGTGCCACACACCATTGCCACACATCCAAGTAAGTTGGCTTGTGGCATATAACAACTGGAAGCTTCCAGTCTCTCCTCGTGTCTAGAAGAAGTGTGGTCAGGCTAGTCTTGGGCTCATATCTGTGCATGTTGGAAGCCTCTGTTGGGCCAAAGAATATCCCTCCTTGGAGCAGGCATTGTCTCTCTTCTGCCCTATGGCCATCAGGGTCTTTGAATGAATAGCGAGTGGGGGGGGGCGATGCCTTCTCCCATCACTTCTAGCCAAGAGTTGCTGAAATGTTGGGGTGATGATGACAGCGATCAAAACAGATGGCAAAGTGAAAGAAATTTTGGACAGCAAGCAAGGATTATGGTTCCTCTTCCTCATAGTTAATATTTTGAAGTTTGGAGCAAGTTGTGTTAAAGGTATTTGTAATCTGTACAAACAAGAGGGGAGAGAAAGGAGATTTTAAATTAGTACAAAGATATTTCAGGCAGGAAGCTAAATTTTGCATCTGGCAGAGCCTTTTTTGTATGATAGCATTTCTGAGAGTTTTGTCTACATATAAGCCATAACTAGCTTCTTCGGAAGTAACCTTACTGTTTTACAAATTCAGAAATTCATCATGCAGGATCTCTGGATAAGAAATTTGGCCTGTGTAACAAAAGGGTTAGAGTGGGAGAACTAAAACTAAATATGTGTCCCAAATTCTCCTCTTCATGTTGTTGCCATCCATGAAGCTCTGAAACTGAGCTGCTTCAGATGTTCCTGAACCAAAGGGCTGTCCTGGAGAGGCCAAGTATCAGGGTGTGGATTCTGTGGCATTTTGAGATGTGCTGTCCTAACCTCAGAAGCTCTTCAGCATGATTTCTCCCTCGAGGAGCGGTCAGTCCTGTAGGGAGAGAACAGTTTTGGCTTCCCCTTGTCCTCCAGGAGTAGCTAGAGGACCATCTAAAGTGTTGGATATCTTGCGTGACTAGAAGTTGAAGTCCACAATTTCTATTCTTGCTTTAACGTCCATCAGAGTATTTCATTAACACTTCCAGGGGAAAAATTACTGTGCCACGGCTGACTTTACACTTCAGCAGGTCTCACCAGCCAAGCCATCATCCAAGGTAGAGATAATGGGCTTTTCAGAAGTTGGGAAAGAGGATGGCGAGTTGGAAAGTATTGTAAGTGCAGGGGAGCTGCACGTTCTTTACCAGCTAGCTGTACCTGGTAGCTACCTGAAAGCTACATCCCCCAAAGGGAGGTTAGTAAGAGAATCAAGAAATGTCTGCAATAAAAATGTAGAGATAAATTGGGGGTTTTTTTGAAGTACAATTCTCCAGTTGCCAAGATGTTTGTAAACAAATGCCTTTCCCCTTTTTAATAAGTCTGGATAAAGAAGATTTGAGAATCTTGCTTTGGGATTTTTAGCTGCCGGTAAAGGCTTGGCCACAGGCCATTTTGAGTTGCGTCTGTCTGCACTGGTTGACTTGCATACATTCACAGTTGTGGAAGTGATTGTGTGCAAATTCACTTCTAAAAACAAAAATGGAGCCTTAAAGCAGATGAGGACATCGTTAAGATCTTGTGCTAAAGCAGTGAAGAGGAGGGAAGAGCTGCCTTGCTGCCTGTGTTTGATGTGCGTTTCCCCTCCTTGGGTGAAGCAATGTTGAGGGGGAGGCAGCAGAGCCTTAAAGCCACAGGAGAAGAAGAGAGTCATAATTAATAGAACCCAGATATTTGTAATGTCTGCTTGTTTGCTTATAAAAACACACACCCAGGGAAACCGCAGTAACCCCTGTTAGTTGTTTATACCAAGAGAATACCCGGTGCCCAATTATGTTTAACAAAGAAAGGAAGACGCCAACCAATGCAGGCACCTCGTGTTTCTATTAATCTGCATGCTTCTGGTGAGTGCAGATATTAATTGCACCAGTATGCAGTGAAGTGATTAACTTCAATATAATTTATCATCTGGAGATTTCTGAACATAAATAAATGAGCTGTTTTGTTCAGTGAGGTGTTGACCCTTTCAGAATATCTGATTTACTGGGGGTCCTATATTATTAGTAGCATTATTGTAAATATGAAAGCGCCCCCCCCCAATCAGCTGACTGTACAGTTATTTGATTTTCCTGGAGCATTAGCCTCCCTTCTTTGTGACATTTCCCAGTTGGGTGCTCGTTTGTGAGCTCATTAATAAGTCTTTCTCAGAGGAATTTGGTGGAAAGCGTAGAGCAAAGGCAGGAGCAGCGTGGGGCTCCCACGCCCAGCAAGGGGGCAATTGGGGGGGGAGTGACACCCGATCCTGAGCCCAAAAGCCTGGGATGCTTAGAATGACTAAAAAGCCACGCTGATGGGAATAAAGTGGGGTGGGGGTTCCCTACCGTCCTTGATGCCAAAATGTGCCTTGTTCCTTGAGCACGTCTCATCCTCTGATCTGGGGGCTTTGTCTTTGTTGCACAGTGGCAAATTGTGCGTGCAGCTTGTGATT